CTCAAACACACTCCAGACTTTTACCTCCCTGGGCCTGAAACAGCACTTCTCCAAGTCCCCAGTGACCTCGATACTGACCGCTTCAGTCCCAGTGACCTCGATACTGACCGCTTCAGTCGAGTGTTACAGCTCGTACTACTTGACCTATTGGCAGCATCTGACAGTTGATTACTCCGTCCTTCAAACTTGACTTGGCTTCCAGGACATCACGCTCTGCTGGTTTTCTTACGTTACCGTACACTCCATCTCCTTTGCTGGTTCTCTTCATCTGCTTGGCCTCTCAGCATCTGGAGTGACCCGAGAATTAGTCCTTGGACCTTTCTCTACATACAACTCACTCTCTTGGTAACTGCATCCACTCTCATGGCTTTAAACACCATCTGTACAGTGACTCCCATATTTACATCTCTTGCCTGGGTCACTCCCCTGAACTCCAGACTAGAATATCCAAGGCCTATCTAACATCTCCACTGGGATAACTACCGGGCATCTCAAACTTATCTGTTCATAACTGAATTCCTGATCTTCACCCTCAAACCTGTGTTACCTGCAGGTTTCTCCATGTCAACTGCTCAGACAAAACGACCTAGAAGTCAACCCTGATGCCTCACTTTCTCACACTGTACATCCAGTATATCAGTAAACTAGTTTTACCTTCAAAATAAGTACAGGATGTAACCCGTTCTCAAGAGTCCAACTGCTGGCACACTGGTACAAGCCACCTGCACTTCTCACCTGAGGTACTGCAAATGGCCTCCTGACTAGTCTGTTCCCACCTTGCTCACCCTACCATTAAAATATAAGCCAGACCTTGTCACTCCTGCTCAAAGGCCTCCAATGGCTCTCCATCTCAGAGTAGAAGCCAAAGTTCACACAAAGCCCACACGGTCCACAGCACCCTCCACCAGCCTCCCAGCTCTTACTACTCTCCCTTCCTCAGTCTGCTTCAGCCCTTACTGGCAACCATGCTGTTTCTGGAGCCCTGCAATGTGCACCTGTCCCAAGGGCCTTTGCCCTTGCTGTCCCTCTGCCTGGGGTTCTCACCTCCCACCAATCTACGAGGTTCCCTCTTGTACTGCTAAGCCTTTGTTCAAGTGGCTTACCAAGTCTTCCTTACCAAGTCTTCCTTACCTTACCAAGTCTTCCCCACCATTTAAATTTCCAACATTGCCCTGCCTCCCTTAACTCCCTATTCCTTCCCCTACTTCTCTCCATGGCACTTGTCTTCTGATGAACCATGTAATTTCCTTATTGCCTCTCTCCTCCCACCAGAATTTAACTTCCACAAGGGCAGGGAGGTTATGTGTTTACTTCTGCATTCTCAGCACCTAGAAAAATAGTGAGGCCCCTTGTGAGGTGCTCAATACATATTTGTTAAATGAGTGAATTATTCTAGGAAATACAATAGGTTACAAGATGTGGAATGGAACTGGCAGTAAGACACACAATCACTTTTTAAATGTATATGAATTTATGTTGTGTTAGTGAAGTTGAGATTGTTTTTCTTTTTGGTGGCTGGCCAGAGCAGGGATACAAATCCATGATCTTAGTGTTATCAACACCAGGCTCTAACCAACTGACTTAAACAGCCAGCTGTAGTTGTTTTTTCTTTTTTGGTTTGTTTGTTCTTATAATGAAGAGAAAAAAAGACATCCAAGCAAGGAAAAGAAGTAAACGTGCAAGGGCCGGCCCGTGGCTCACTTGGGAGAGTGTGGTTCTGGTAACACCAAGGCCACAGGTTCAGATCCCTATATAGGGATGGCCAGTTAGCTCACTTGGGACAGCATGGTGCTGACAACACCAAGTCAAGGGTTAAGATCCCCTTACTGGTCATCTTTAAAAAATAAATAAATAAATAAAAATAAGTAAATGTGAAGACTTTGTACTTAGAAACTTTGGCATCAGAATCTCACTAAGTTTTCAATTGTACAATTTCCTCCAAAGCATCCTCTGGCTCAGAGAAGTATGTGAATACTTGTAGTACAAATCTTCAGCTGACATGAGTAACTGTAAAAAATCTAAAGCATGGGTGCTGAAAGTTGATAATTATCATAAACATTTGTTAAGAACATCCCCTAAAGGTCCTGTAGCCAGCTTTCTGACAACAGACCTTCAGCCTGACTTGTTGGCTGATTTTTTTTATTAAGTCAAAGTTTAGGGAGCAGACTATTTGACTACTCTTACTAGTATCAGAGGGCACCAAAGTGTTCCAATTCCTTGGTCCTACTTAGAAGCTTCATATATAATTTAATTTCCTTACTTCAGAGGCTGACAGTAAATGCTACTATTAGGAGTGACACTTTGCTAAGAGTGTAACAATTGCATACGATGTCAACTATGGTTTAAGTAGCCTTAAATTTTCATAACAGCATTGCAGGTTTCATTAGATGCCATTCTGTCTACCATGGTATAAAACAAAATACTATTCCTTTCTTAACCACTTACTGCATTTTTATAACAGGGAACTGCTGCCACCTTCTGGTGATGCTTATGACAAAGTTAATGGTGGGAGATTCAAATGCCAGTCAAAATTTTGAAATTCCCCTTCAAAGGGGACAGCCATATGAATACCTTGGTGATTACCTTATCTGATTAACTCTCATTACTCTGGACAGAAAAATAAATAGGAAGTATATTATGGGATTTCTAATGTAAACTAAAACCCTCTACTACTAAAAAATGATCTGGCTAACAGTGCTATCATTCTGAGAACATGGCTTCTGAGTCTTTTTTCAGTTAACCAACTGAAAGAGATGTGTGCATGTGACACACTTCAGTACTTTGCTTAGATAGCAGGCTAATCCTCTCACATCAGTGCAGTCTCATGGGTCAAGCTGACCCACAGAAGAGTATGATCAACCTGTCCAGTGTTTTCATGATTTTTTCATGACACTGAGCGAGAAAACGACCATAACAGATAAGCAGTCAAAAATTACATACACAGCCAGTGGAGTGTTCTGAGAAGTACCTGATTTAAAGCTACAAAAAGACCTCAATCAAAAACAATTTCTTTAATTTACTGAGTCTGCTAGGATTAGGTAATTAATTTACTGAGTCTGCTAGGATTAGGTAATCAGTCTTCAAGAAAAATTTTTCTGCTCCTGAACAATCCAGGTGCATCAAGATCCAGTGAATGTTTATAGAACACTAGTAATAAAAATGGATGGGACAACCGTGACAGCCAAGAGCAGTCTAAGGAAACATGATTCCTAAATGCAATACTGTGGTATCTCATTAAATGGATGGGACCCTGGAACAGAAAAAGGCCATTAGGAAAAAACTCAGGAAATCTGAATAAAGTATGGACTCTAGGTAAAAATCATCTATCGGTATCAGTTCACTGATGTTACAAATGTACCATACTAATGTACGATGTTAATAATAGCAAAAACTAGGTGTGGGCTATATGAAAACTCTCTGTACTATCTTCACAGTTCTTCTGTAAATCTAAAAATATTCTAAAATAAATCATTTCTTTGAAAAAAAGGATGGAACAAGACGTATCTCAATTGACAAAGGCAGGGTCTTAAGTTACTTCAATCATATGCTTAAAAAGTCACAGAGCCTCTATTTTGACTTAAAAAAAAATAAGTTATTGTAGTTTATTGTCATTTATCAGTTCTAGATCCAAACCTTTTATATAAAATCAAGAGACATGACCTCTCCAAATTCCAACCAAAAGGAACACTGAGGTTCATATCAATTTACCGCAAATCTCAGTCACTTGGAAAAAGGGCCTTCATGAAATTAAGTCAGGTACAAAACACTTTATTCTATCATACACTTTCTTGAAACAACCACCTCCCACAAACTCAATTGTGTCACAGGGCATTTGGAGAGTTACCCAAATTTTCATCTCACTCAGAGACAAAAATACTCAACCAAAACTACACCATCTTACATCTGGCCCAAAACTCATGCCTCAAAAATAAGACTTTACAGCCCTACAGTCTCCATTAAAATTGAGGTAAGAAGAGTTTGTAGTTTAGGAAGAAAGAAATACTCAGGTGAACAAACAATTCTTTAAGACTAAACACCTGTGCTGTGCTTTTAAAATTATAATTGGAAAAAAACCCTCCCATTTCTTTCATAAAACTATATTTTAAAGGCTTCTTTCCTACTTCCACATCATCAACATAATGTACAATTTAAAATACAATGATCTCCTGCAAACGTCAACTAGCTCATGAACCAAATTAGAGCTTCTGAGTGGCTACTACTCAAAAAACCTGAATTAAACTCCTATTTGGTCACAGAAGTCACTCTTCTCAGGTATACGCCCTATAACTAATTGTTTTAATTTCCATTTCTTATCTTCAACTTATTATCAATTTAACATTGGCTCTTAAATAAAACGTGCAGAATGGAAGTCCCTGAAACTACTTGGTTTAAACAAAATCTGGGCCCTAACCCCTAAGCTCGCTCACTAGCCCAGGTTAAGAGAAGGTGCTGTTCCATGACTTTCTTCTCACATAAGAATATGTTATATGCCAAATAGACTTTTGAATTGTGTTCAGTTGCCTTGGAGACAGAATAGCAGCAATGCTGTTATAATTTTAAGGTGATTTTTAAAATTATTTTTATTTTTAAGATTAAGCATCCTTAGTGACAATCCAGAACACAGTCCTTGCTGCCTCTTTGGACACACACATCTAAAACAGTGAAAACTGATTCCTCAACTTTCTATGACAAGGAAGCAAAAAAGAACATGTTCACAAGCTGCCGTGGAATTAAAAGAACATGTTCACAAGCTGCAGTGGAATTCTGCTGTCTCTTTTTCAAAAAATCTTATTCTGCTACCAAGCCACTCACCAAGCCATAAGCAAACACAATTTTTCAAAAAGCCAACAAAACCCAGAAATAGGAATCTAGGTATCAAGCCAAAATGCTTACCCAAAACACCGCTGTTGCAAAAGAAGGTAAGAAGCCAAATTCTCATAGCTATTTAGAGAAAACCTTCAAAAAAGAATTCAGAAAGCACTGGAACTACAGTGGTGTGAACATGTTCGAAAGGCAGATACTTAAAGAATGTTTAGCTTGTTCAGCTGGGGAATATATTAGACTTTCTCCTATTCCAGAGAGGAAATAAAAGCAAGTACCACTGGAATTAATACTAAAATTGTCCTTCCCAACAGAAAGTAGGGTGAAGGTAAAGGGAGAGAAGGTGGAACAAAAGGTAGCAAAGGCAAGCTGTTTTGAATCCAGGCTCTACTGACCGGGAAAGTTGAACAGGGCTGAAATTCTTCTGAGCCAGTATCATTAAATCCTAGATTTGGCTCTAAATCAGTGGACTGTATACCCCACTAATAAATATCAAGTACCCACAGTGTGTGTGGTATTAAAAAATACTTTAAAAATTACTATAACATTCTATTCTGAAAAGCAGTAGATCAAAATGACACTGGGCCATGCAGTCAGTTATAGACTAAAGGGCTTCCCCCAAAGAGAGAATTAACTTTGCAGAAATTTAGGTTGGAAGAAATGTGAGTAACATAGACTTAAGGAGATCAGGTCCCAGCCCATTTTTAATAAGGTTTCTACCCTCCCCAGTGGTAAGAAGTAGTACTGAGGGGGCACCAACAGAATGTCTTAAAGGGATCTTTCTCAGAGACAAAAAGGTCTGTAATTTTAATTCTTTAACCCCTCCTTACCTACAGCTTGGGAAGGAAAATAAATATTCAATTTTTAACTATTCAGAGCTTTGGGCACATTATAATAATTAATATTCTGTAGTTTTCATTTTCTGAAACTTTGGTTATAATTTTTCTTATTTTATGTTACAGTGAAAAAATGTATGAATGTGTCTTAATCAGTAGTACTACATGAAAATATAAACCTGTTCTTCCATATCTTCTACACTGGAAGAGTGAATGAATGGCACCCTATATATCCTGCAAGGTTGCTTTGTGCACTGGATGAAAGACTAGGGCAAACTATTCTGTTTCCGTATCTTGAGTAGAACGAGGAAACTAGTCTTCAATCTCATCTTCCAAAAAATCTCCATTAACATCCATAGCAGGGAACAACCTAGAAGCATAAAAAAAGATACATTTTTATCCACTTGGTCAAAACTGAATATAATTTGTCTTTCCTTGTCTCAAAAATATTTTCTGCACTCTTCTGATAACATCCTTGTACATCTTTTCTTTTCCTTTAATCTCTCCATTGAGAAGACCTGAAATTTAGGTCACCCTAAATAAGATGCCTTAAATTTGCAAAAACAGCCCTTTTAGGATCCAGACAAACTCTCTAGGGCCAAAGATAAACAGTAAGGAGGATGGATATCACAAAACTGATGCTCAATGTATACAATATGTGGAATAAGACAAGATCTCGGAAGTGAGACAATCTAGATGAAGCTGAACTCTTTCAAGACACTGTAACTCTACATGCTAGTCATCACTTCATTGTCTATCTCCACAGTCTTTGCACTCTCCATTTGTAGAATTTGTCTTCAATTTGTCTTCCTTCCCTTATGTTACCTAAAATTCATGCAATTTCCAACACTAGATTTCCAAAAGTTCACGGGCAGGGCTTGCTTCTTCAATTTCTCTGATAGTTTGAGAACACAAATGACTGGGATGCTCTACAGATATCCATTAACAAGATCATCAACTGATGCTTTAATTGGAGAGCTGCTGGAGAACTGGACATTCACATTGTGCGAAGGAATCACCCCACAGATTACTTACTAATAACAAAATGGAAAACTCACCTTTACAATAAAGCAAATGATAGAACTAATTATCATACTAACACCCTATATTGGCTAGACACCAAGAAAAAATTGAAAAACAATTCTTCCTTAGGCTGGCCGATTAGCTCAGTTGGTCAGAGTGCAGTCTTATAACATACTAACACAGCAACAGCCTGACATTATGGGCCTCCTGATGTAATACAATGTATGCATCACGTCTCATGAAGTGTTCTTGTCAAAAAATGTTACTCTAAATCTAATCAAACCTCAGTCTAGGGCTGGCCGGTTAGCTCAGTTGATTAGAACACAGTGCTGTAACACCAAGGTCAAGGGTTCAGATCCCCATACCAGCCAGCGGCAAAAAAGTAATTAATTTCAGTCTAGACTTAACTTCCAGTTTACAGCAAATAGACAGGATAGAGAAAGAAGGTAAAAGACATCATGAAGAAACAAAACTGTAGATGATAAGAAGTTATGTAGGACAACTGGCCTGGGTGCTTCAAAAAGTCAATGTTCCCCTTGACACACACTGACAACGGTGGGTCAAACCTTTTCTGTACTACAAGACTAAAGAGACCAAATATAATGAGTGTGAACTTGATTTGATCCTGATTCAATTAAACAGCTTTCAAAAGACATTTTTAGTGATAAATGAGAAATTTAAAATATGTTGTGTTTACTAGATGATAGTATGTCATTATCAATAAATTTGTTAAACTATTGTCATTATGTAAAAGCATTTTCTTGGGGCTGGCCGGATAAGTCAATTGGTTAGAGCTCGACCTTGTAACACTGAGATCAAGGGTTCAGATCCCAGTAAAGGCCAGTCATAAAAAAATAAAAATAAAATACATTTAAAAAATTTTTTTAAAAAGCATTTTCTTATTATTATTTTTTTTCCTTTTTGTCTTTTTTCGTGTCCGGCAACGGACCGCAACCCTCAGTGTCGCGCCCGTACTGGACCGGGACCGGCAACGGGATCGCAACCCTTGGTGCTGCGCCCGCCCCTCGCTCAGCCAGTGAGCGGGAACCGGTCTGTATGTGGGATCCGAACCCTCGGCGGGAGCACCGCCGCGCTCCCAAGCGGCACACTGTAGCAGTGCGCCACCGGGCCAGCCCCTAAAAAGCATTTTCTTATGTTAGTAGACACATGTGGAAGTATTTAGAGTTGGAGCGTTATCATAACTCAAATTAGCTTCACGTAGTTTGGCAAAATAGTTAAATAAAGAGAATAAATATGGAAAAACACTATCAATTGTTAATTTAAGTGGAAAGTGTTCTACTGTTTCTACTACTAGAAAATACTTGTCTGCATCTTTGAAAATTTTCACTACAAAAAGTTGAGGATAAAAGATCAAATAAAAATTTCCAGGTCAGCTGCCAAAAATAAAATAATAAAAAAAAAATTAAAATTTCCAGAGAGGGCATATCTCATCTTTAAGAAAATAATATAAAAATTCATCTATGCAGGAAAACATGTCACAGACTTATCTGAATAAGCCCAAGTTCTTAAGTAAAGCACTGGATTTGTGGTCTGCACATCAAGTACAAAAAATTGCTGTTGAGCCTAAGGAATTCTACGTGTACATACCGGTTAAAACAGGGAGAAGCAGGATCATTGAAATGTTTGTAAGGGTTTGCTCTAGAGAGGGAACCCATGCAAATCCAGCAGAAATATTGCATACAGCCAGTACATGTCATCTTGTTACATCCATCTAATTTCTGGTGGGAAGGGTAGAGAAAAACATCAAGGCCATAAAAGCTAAAGTGAAATGCACATGCCAAAAAGATTCAGTACAACATTCTCCTTGTCTTCTCTCTTTTCTCATGCAGGATTGAGATACATAAGTAACACATAGATAACTATTTAATGCTGTTTTGCATTACAAGTAAAATACGGAAAATATTTAGCATGTGTCTCTACAACTACATACTTAGCAAAATCTCTTCTGATAAACAGTAGATACAAATCAAACACATATACTATGGCTGGACCATGTAGTTAGATTAATATTAAAATGTTTAGATTTGGTATGTTTGAGTTTTAAATAAACCTAAGTAAACATTTGGTATCAAGTCTTCCACTTTTATCATAGCACTAAGGCATGTTAGAAGTGCTTAAATACAATGCCAGTTTCCTTAATGGAGTAGCTGGGGAATCATCAGTAGCTCAGTTCAGATATAACGGATTGGAAAAGTAGAATCAAACACAAAGACATATTTTGTTTTCAAAACATGTTAAGGTCTTGTCAAGAAGCAATAGATTTGTCTAATTATTTGGTTCAGCTTAATGGAAAAATGTCTCCATTTCTGAGTGTATTCAACAGATGTGCTACATTTCAGGAAAAATAGTCCTGAGAAGTCAGATTTGATATTTTTGTTAATCACACAGATGAGTTAAGAGTTGACTATAAGTCTAGTATGCCCTTCTAATAACCCATTCAAATTGAGGTAAATATAAGAACAATTTTCACTGTATGAAAGCACTTTGAAAAGGGAAATCTACATACATTTAAGGTCAATAACAATATTTAGTAGTGAGATTTGCATCTTCCAAGTAAGAAGGCTAAATAAATAATCAAATGTGTTTTCTCAGTAAGTCACAGAATGGACTAAGAGGTTTCTTAAGGCAATCATAACATGATCGCAAGTCTGCTTGCCTCCAAGTCTGTCCCAAAACATTTACCTCTATGGGAGTCCCACAGCACGGGCAGCTCTTTGAGTTCTTTTCCAGCCACTCCTTACTTTCCATCTCTTCCAGTGCCTTCTGAATCACCCTCTTACCATACCTCTGTTCCAAAAATCTTTTACTGGCCTCATCCGCTTGCAGGTACTCATTTCGTAAGTCCATTAATTTCTCTAGAAAGTGAAATGAAAAATTAACTTTTATACAGATTTGCAATGCTAACTAAAAATCATTAAAAATGGCCATAATCTTTGACTACTCATTAGTGCAGTTCCTGGAACTTTATCATAAGGAAATAATCCAAAGTAAAGTAATATGCATGCAGATGCATATAACAATGGTAAACAAATTAAATTTTTAAAGGAAATAACTGTATGGAAGAGCCATTTAATGACATATTCAGTTATTTAAAACTTATAATTAGCATGGCTACAACCCAATAAAACTGCTCATTACTGGGGCTGCCCACTTAGCTCACTTGATTATAGCATGTTGCAGATTAGAAAAGATGGATGTGCTAAAAGTGGTAGAAAAATAGGTTGTTTTTTTCCTTTGACTTTGATTTCTTAATCTTGATATATTTGTGCAACTAGTAGTAGACAAAGATGGACTTATCTAAAAGACACAAAGGTTAAAAAAACACTGATTCTCCACTAAGACAGCATCATTCACTATTTCATAATGAACAAGACCTACCAAATAAAAATAGTTGCCTTTGTCTTAAGAGCAAAGACTAACTGTTCAATTCTGTACATTAAAAATAAAACAAAACAAAAATCAGTGAATAAAATTTACCACCGTCACTTAAAACAATACAAACAGGAAAAACAATTTTTTTTTAATTTACAATGCTCAGTTTCAGTCTGTACTATGATTTGTTATAAGTGCTGAAAAGTTCCTCCTGTCAACTATTTCTCTTGATAATCTTCAAGATGGCTTCCACTGCTCTATCACTTAACTCAAATGGAATAGGCAACCATTCCCAAAGGCTATTTTCGGGGGCAGGGTGAGGGGTGGGGGGAAGGAGTGACTGGCCACGAGATTGAAACCTGAACCTTGGTGTTTATCAGCACCACATTCTAACCAATTCAGCTAACTGGCCAGCCCCAAAGGTGTTACTTGTAGACAAAAGGCTTTTGTTCACAAATGTATTACCTTTCAAAACAGTTAATTAAAGACGTTTCTCAACAATGTTGTAGTTATTTTACTAGTTTACTTTCCTCATAGTATTTTAGAGGTATGTCTCCCTCTTAAAGCAATGGACATCTGAGACAGAATCCTATCTGCACTATTTTCCTTCACCTGCGAATCCCTTCTCTGTGTTGTGCATTCCCATGGCTCCATCACCTCTACTTTAATGTGATAGACAGATCTTATTCATTCTGTCACTTTTATCCTTCTAGTAATTCAAAGCATTTTGCGTTCCTAGACATACGAAGATCAAAGGTTATTGCTCTAATGTTCTCAAAATAAAAAAGCTGTTAGTATTTCATATTTTATACTATATATAAATAAGTACATATATTTATATATATATACATATATATACTTACATATGTAAATATATAAAAAACGAAACACATTTCCTAATTTTGCTGAAACCCCCAGACTATATTCAATTCTACCCTAAATGCACACCTAAAATGCACTGCAGCCTCTCAATGATAAGGTTACAGAAGTCTAAAGTAAAGGCTTGTATTACATTTTGCTAAGTTCTCCGTCCCACCTGCCCTTACCCTCTACAAGAATCTGGCATAGGTAACTGGAATTCTCTACTCACTCTCTCCTCTCAGGATACTTTCTTGGAAATAATGACAGTCTGCTAACATAAGCAATTAGTACTATAATAATAAAAGCATTAATAGTTATCATTTTGCATTTTACATGTATTACCTCATTGTTTCTCACTATGCTGAAGAACAGTTTTTTTCCCCCAGTCTGTCAAGGATCAACACTTTACAATATATAATCCAACCATTTATTAGAAAAATGAAAGTAAAGACAAAAAGTACAACCCTAAATTTTTATTAGATTTGACTGACATAAAATTACTCTGTGAAATAGCTATAAAATCCTCTAACACTGACTCTCAACCTCCATATTCATCCCATCATAGACCAGTATAACAAATATAACAACTTTGAGTGGCTCTACATTAGTTCACTTCCATCCTTAGAATAACCCTATGAAGTAGCTACTATCATCGTCTCTGTTAGCCAAACAAAGACTAAGCCACTAAAGTCTAGATAAATGGATTTCAAGGACCTGATTTCCCAACCCCTACCTAGATGGAATTGGAAAACAGGTTTCACTTACGGTGCCTCCTTCAACAGAGGGTGGCTTACTGAAGCACCATGCTGAGGAAGATTCTGAGGCCTCCCTGTGCTCAGTGAGAAAGCATCTGATGACTCATCAGACATATGTGCCATGGAAACAAGAATGGCAGCTTAGATGTCTGCATTTGCCATCTGGATCTACATTATTGCACATCTACAGGTAGAAATTACCTTGACATTCCTTTTCTTGGAATGTTCCCCCTCAGGGTGGCATGGTTTTCCTTACTTCCTTCAAGTCTTCACTTAAACCATGTTGTCAGTGAGGCCGCCCCGGTTTCCCTAACTAAAACCACAAGTTCCCTGCCCTTTGAAACATTTCATATCCTGTCCCTGCTTTATTTTTTTCCTCCGTAGTGTAATGGGTTAGAAATCTTGATTCTCCTTTGATCTTAGAATAGGATCTTTAGGTAATGAATGAAGGAGCCAAAAGTTCCTGAAAAGGGGACAAAAGTCCACAGATAAGGTTGGCAAAAGCCATCTAATCAATTCTAATTACTATTTAGAGATGGAAATGTGTATTTTGACTGTTTTAGGTTGCTGGTTTGATTCCGGCTTGAATGACTATTGACTAACCTACTGATTGTTCTTAAGACATGTTAAGGAAACTGCTTGAATGCTGTTTAAATATGCTAAGGAAATTGCTGCAGGAAGTATGTGAAAAAGAAAACGTTTACTAAGGACAAGCTCTTTATTGGTGAATTAACCTAGCTTTTTACAAATTTCATTCTGGAATGTCACATTACTAGTTTTATACTGCCTGTCCTTATGTCCTTCTTTGATGATTGAATCAACTGATTTTTCTTGTGAAACTTCCTTGTCTTGTCAATAAAAAGAAAGGCTGATTTTGGATTGGGGCTGCTGCTCCCCTGATGAGTGGCAGTCCCTCCAGGCCTCATTGATTGTATTTTGACCGAATTCTTTCTTTCTCTTTTCTCCATCTCAGTTACACAGAGGAAAGTGTAACAACTTAGCACTTAACACCACCTAATATCCTTACTTTGTTTGCCTGTCTCTCCCACTAGAATGTAAGTTCCATGAGGGCAGAGATTTTTTGTCTCTTCTCATCACTACTATATCCCCAAAGCCTAGGACAGTAACTGACACAGAAATATCTCTTGAGTGAATACTTTCAAAGTGAAAAATTAAAGTCATAATGCTTTGGGAAGGGTGGGGGGTTGGGAGTGGGGAGGTGAGGGAAGGCAGTGCAGGTTGGGTCCACACAGTTACAACGTACCTGCAGTCACTTTACATGGAGAGACCCCATGGTAGGTCAATCTGCACAAGGTACAGAAGGCAAAATTGCAGCTGGAGCAGATGCCCATGGTGCAGCCAGGCTCTTGCATCACAGGCAGCTGGCAACACGGGCGGGGACAGTACACCACATCTGCCATCAGGTCCAAGGTAGACTGAAGGAGAAGGCGGTCATAACGGGCAAATAACTCTGCTTCCACTAGCTCTTTGACCTGGAGGGGAATACAAAACACCATAGGTTTCATCATTCCGCAAGCAGTTCTGATCCCAAGGATATTCTTAGGATGGTGGTGTAGTCCAGAAGGGCACATAAATTAAAACCTTTTTCTCACTTCAAAATGAAACCAAGAATAGCAATGGTATATATCTTCAATGAGATGGTGGTTACATGGGTCTACACATTTGTCAAAACTAAGCAAACTGTACGATTCAAATGTGTACTGTTTTTGCAAGTAATATTATGCCTTAATTAAATTGATTAGAAAACAAAAAACAAAAAAACAAGTAGCTATACTTTTGCTGAAGTCTGTAAATGATTCACCTAATCACTCCAGAGGATGGCCCTTCAGCCCCACATAAAGACAGTCTAATGATTCCCCAAGGTTGGTGGGATTTGAGCAGATATACAAAGTAAATCATACTTACTTCATAATTACTTTTTTCACTCTCATCCTTGCCTAGGACTGCCCATTCCAAGGCCAGCAAAGGAAGCATTTACATTTGTTTAAAAGGCAGAGTAAAACTACAGCATTCTTCATGGACACAGTGAAACAACCTGTAGGTGGCTCCCAGACCTCACACTGCCCCCATGTGCCCTATCAAGGAAGCTCCTGAGAAGATGTCTCCCTTTGTGAAAGGTTAAAAGGCTACCGTCAGCACCGAAAACAAATACCTGACCAGGAGTGGCCACCGAAGGGCACTTTGGTTCCGGGCAGTTGAGGCATTGAACCTGGCCATCTCTGATCTGGATTTCAAAGTAGTCCTTCAGACAGGCTTTGCAGTACACGTGCCTGCACTCCATGAAGTACATGCATTCACTACCCAGCTTCTCACAGAAACAGATATTGCACAGGAACAATTTACTATTAAAGCATTTGATCTGCTGAGCTTGATCAAAGTCCAAGATTTCCTGGATCAGACTTGACAACGATTCCACATCCTGTACAGCTCTCTTGTCCACAACCTCCTCTTCATCTACATCAGATCCAGCAGCTCCTTCAAAATCTAGCTCTGTGGTGGGAGAGGCTTGAGTTGTCCTTCTCTGTACTTTTTTCTGAGAACCCATCTTGAGCTCAAAAGGAGAGACAATATTCAGGTATGTTAGAGTCTCTTCCTTAAGAAACTGCATCCAGGCAAAAAGGACCACACTGCCATGGTGTTCTTCCCATAGGTTGTCCAAGTGCTTGCACAGAGCAGATAGCTAGGAGAAAGAAAACATGTGAGGATGCTGGTGAATTTTAAAAGATGATCATGCTGCCGACTCCTCATTTCCCTTGAAATCATTTTAACTTGTACATTACACCCTTACATTTCCTAACACTATTATTTTCTGCTATGATAAACTGTGCTACTAAACAGTATCAGCAATTTGGTTTTTATTTGGGGTGTCTGGCCAGTGCGAGTCCCAACATTTTCATGAGGGCACTTCTTAAACTCCTCAGGGGCATGAGCCACAGTTGAAAGGAACACAGAAGCTAGAAGTACCATGAAAAGAAGAGACGTGGCAAGACTCCATAAAATGAAGAACTAGATTTACATTTGAGCCGCTGAAATGGAAGACTTTTTCTATTCTTTATTTGTTCTCTGTTTTAGTATTACTGTATATCTTGTGTAGGACAAAGAAATCTAGGTCTAAAATGAACTGTTTCTCTTCCTTGGGAAGTTCCCAGTCCTGAAGATACCCTGGAATAATGGTTTAAAAAAAGAATAGCTTTAAAATTAATTCTAACTTCCAGTACTATCAAAAAGCAAACTCATCTGAAAGAATCACTAACAGAATCAGCCTCAGAGTCCTTATTTTGCAGATTTACAAGCTGTTTTTAACTAAGCAATCTGGGCTTACATGAGATCCTGATTAATGGATAGAAGTAGACTGATACTGGCCCTGGACATAATTACAAGCCCTTAACAAGGTTTGCAGCCACAGAGAAAGCTCTGCTTCCTAAGCTAAGCAACCAGAGGTAAACTACTTCAACTTTTCCTCTTACAAAGTAGCCTGCTCAACTTGAAAGGCAAATATAAGAGGATTGTCTATCAGAAAGGTAAAATATTTGTAAGCAGAGCTCAGGAATACTAAGCAGCTTTTCTTTTTTAGGTAAACATCCACAAAAAAACCTTCCAGATGGTCAACAAATTTTGTAAATTTAAATAACAAGTAAAAAAAGGACATCTCCTGTTTCTTGCTCTGTGTAGTGATACTGACCAAACCCTGCACGGGCACTAATTTAACTCAAACACATATTGATAAGTTATGAATGTACAACTAATGCTTTTTCATATTTGCATAAATATGCTTATAAGATCAACCATGCTTTGAGGAACCTGCTAAAATCTGTAAAATGTAATAAATACAAAAAGGGAAGCACTGAGTCCTGTAGGAGCCATCAAGTCCAATGAAGAACCCATTCTCCTCCATCCTCTTTTCTCCTCCAATCCCTTTTTTTTTTCTTTCTTTTTTTTTTTAAAAGATGACTGGTAAGGGGATCTCAACCCTTGGCTTGGTATTGTCAGCACCACGCTCAGCCAGTGAGCAAATCAGCCATCCCACCGCACTCTACCGAGTGAGCCACGGGCCAGCCCTTCCAATCCCTTCTAAAAGAAGCATTTGGGATGCATGTAAATGTGAAGGGTGGAGGGTGAGATAGAGGAAAAGAGCAAGAGAGGGACTGTGTGTATCTCTGTGTGAGGAATAATGGAAAATACCAGAAATATCCACTTCCTCCTATCCACCCATCCTAATCAGTGAATGACAAGTCTATGTCAATTTCACTATCAACAGGTGAGATTCATAATTCCAAGGAATCAGGGGTAGCAACAAACAAGAACTGAACCAAGAGGGAACATAAAAGACCAATTAAAATGTCAGTTACATGCATAAAAGTTTACTTGATAAGGAATTACTAGTGTAATTTTTGCTGTAAAACATAAAATGAACATCCGTCCTCCCCTGCACTTTCCCCAAAAGCCAGTAAGTATTAAGTCGATGCTGGTATGCTGGAATATGAAATTGCAAACACACATCCACTTAATCTGTCTCTGTTTTGTGCATGTGTACCCACATGTATGGATGTAAAGGATCAAGAGCTCTCCAGAGAACTGGGAGTATAAATATCTCAACTATCTGTGATCTAAATATCAAACAGTCTTGATATTCCTGCGCAATAATGAACTGTCTTGAGTCTACTGTCTCTGGCAAAGACATTAGAATGTAAAGGAATATTCCTTTTTATTCTACATGTATTACACTTTTTTAAAGTTTAATTTTATTTTTAATTTTATTTTTAAGCTCAATTTTGCAAAAGCACTCTCATCTAAAAGATTAGACTGGGGCCGGCCCGTGGCTCCCTCGGGAGAGTGTGGTGCTGGTAACACCAAGGCCATGGGGTTTGGATCCCTATATAGGGATGTCCAGTTAGCTCACTTGGGAGAGTGTGGTGCTGACAACACCAAGTCAAGGGTTAAGATACCCTTACCGGTCATCTTTAAAAAAAAAAAAGATTAGACTGGTGGGTGGGGAAATGAAAACTATGTGATCAAAAGGGAAAATCTGATAAGCTATTCCTTGAGGTAAGCAGTCTGACAGTTTTCATCTTAATATACATGAGCCTATCAATCTTCATCATAACTTCTAGAAAAGTAGCTGCTACTGATCCATGACCTATCCCAGAATACCTTAGCTTCAAGTCATAGTTATGTATCAATCAAGAGTTGCTGTTGTTACTAGAAAAGGATATATAACCCAGAGAAAATGAAGGCTCTTAATATAAGATTTCAAGCCTTAATGAGATATCTACAGAAATTGTACAATTTTGTATTTGTGTGCATTTATGTTTACATGACAGCAATCAACACATATTAGTTACTAATATACAGATTTTAAAAAAGAAAAGTACTTATATTTACTCAGGAAATTTGCTGATTATAGCTACATTAGCTCAATGTTAAGCCCTAATTACTATTAAATCTTTTATTGAAGGAAAAAAAAAAGTAACACCAACATCTAAGAAAAATGAGGAAGATCTCATAGTTTCCATTACATTAATATTAATTAATGAATAGCAAAACAAGAAACAATATACTTGATTAAAACTTACTCTTGCTACAATTCATAATGATTAATCATTCTAATAACTGCCATTCCTTTTTAAAACACCAGTTTCAGTTCATTAACATTAAAATTCATGAAGGCAAGGGAAAAAAATTATAAAATCAAACCCATCTGTTCTTCATGCTCCGATTTCTAGATCATCAAGGTAGTCATTAAAGATGATTTTTTAAGATTTTCAAAATGGATAGGAGAAATTAAGTTTCCGGTCTAACCTGAGTTGGTGACAGCCATTTGCCACTAAGTGTGAATGAAGGTGGGGAGGTGGATGGATAATCTGGTGGCAGTTCAAAGTTCAGCACAAGTGGAGGCAGAAAGCAAATGGTGTATTCAAAGCCACTATTCTGGAGACACTCATTTGAATTGCCTGAACCAAAAACAAACATTAGAAAGGATCAGTTGGTCAACACCTGAGTGTCCATTACTGTAGAGCAGTGCTCAAGAAAAACTTGATGCTTTAGTTGAGGGGATAAAAACCCTCCCCCAAAGCACTTTCTATTTCCTAATTTTAATTTCATAGCCGCCACCTTCAAAAAAAATCTCATAAGCCCTTGAAAAATCTACTAAGCACCATGGAATATATAATGAAGATACACAACTTATTCTTATATTTACTTCTGAGTACAATTTCTAACATAAAAGACCAAGTAATACACAATGTTTTGAATCGCTGTTGGTTTACAGTAGATGATTAAAGACACAATCTAAAGAAAAGGATGTTGATTTCTATCAAACAGCCACGGCCTAGTTAGACCAGCATGTGCAAACTATCCATAAATCATAGTTGGGAAAATTTGTGCCCACACAATGATCTCAGGCTTGAGGGCATGATACAGCATATAGCACTCTTACAATCAAAGCTGCATTTAAATGATCACACTCATGTTCTGTACTCAATGCCTTCAAAGTAGAAACATTTTGAGTTAAGTGTGCATCAAGGTCTTCTGTGAATGTTTGTATCAAAAGCAGCAGTTTTGTTTTTTCTGAAGCAAAAGGTCACAGAGTAACAGCATGTGTCACATGTTTACAGTAGTTAAATGACTCTGGAAACCAAAAGGTATTAATCACCACCATGGTACTGTGAAGTTTTCCAAGTGGTTTTCCATACATTATTTCATTTGCTCTTTGATTATCCCAATTTAGCAGCCAGTGTCTCATGGCTGATAAACTGCTAGTTAGAAAAAGACTATGACACATGAAATAGGCAGCATAATATCCCAATTCAGTGGCCAAAAAGGTGGAATCAAATTGAAAACTGCTTACTCCCATTCTAATTTTTATTCAAAACAGAAATATGTATGAAATCTGTACTACTGCCATTTATCACTATAGCCTATAAACACAAAGGAACAAATAATTTAGCATAAACTAAGAAATCAAGAATCATCTTTACTCAGAGAAATGTTTATGAAAATATTATTAACTAACCGTTCACAAATATCTTGAAATTCTGTGGCAAATCCAAATAGATTCTAGTTTCTCCACCTTGGACAGACTCTGCTTTTCTAAATTCATCTCCATCATAAATACTCGCCAAGGCCAGCAATTCATCTTCCTGAGCTTCTCGGTCTTCTGACGACATTTAATTTCTGAGGAACTAAAGATAATCATTCAAATTATTTAAGAATAGAAAATACACGAAGTTGGGAAAAGTTAATCGCATTTTTAACAAACAACTACAAAAGATTAACCAATATTCTCATTTTTCTGCTAAACTAAAAATGACACTCATATCTAGCATCCCATTAGCTTTCCCATAGTAATAGTTTTCTTAGAAGGATGGTTAGGTACTTCTATTGCTGACTTTATTAGTTTGATATTTTATTGATGATTTAGGGAAAAAAACACAATTAAAAAATTTTTTAATAAGGACAAATCACAAATTACTTTGACTTGTCCACTGAAGCTAGCAAAGTGACTTGCTCTCAAAAGGTGTCAAAGTATATTTGATATACGTCTTAAAAATACGTGAATTTTCAAAATCCATAGGAAGCTCCAGGGTGGGTTTTCTTAGCCTCAGCACTTTTGACAATTTGGAGCAAATAATTTTTTGTTGTGGGGGACTGTGCTATGCACTGTAAAGATGTTTAACAGCATCCCCTGGCTTCTATCCACTAGAAGTCAATAGTGCCCCCCTTAAGAGTTGTGATAATCAAAAATATCTCCAGATAAAGCCAATGTCCCTTGAAGGGGCAAATTGATCCCAGCTGGGAAAACCCTCTTGTAGAGGATGTTACAGACACAGATACTGTATAAAAGTCAGATAACTGAGCAAGCAGAAAATCATATTAAAATTTTTTTTTTTTTTTTTAAAGATGACCGGTAAGGGGATCTTAACCCTCGACTTGGTGTTGTCAGCACCACGCTCAGCCAGTGAGCGAACCGGCCATCCCTATATGGGATCCAAACCCGTGGCCTTGGTGCTATCAGCACCGCACTCTACCGAGTGAGCCACAGGCCGGCCCTCATATTAAAATTTTGAAATTAATACCACATCTTGTCAAATCTAAAAAGCTATCAATTTTAAGATTTACCATTGTTGTAGATAACACTAAGAGTGAAAATATGGTGCAATTAAAGCATGAATCAATGCTTTTTTAATTGCAGCAACTGAAAGATGCAGCACAATTTCAGATACTTTAAATGTAGAAAAATATGAACTAAGAATCTATGAAAATTACTTTACTAAAAGAACAAAAATATTACCATTATGTCAACTAAAATATTATATTATAATTGTACTTGCAAATATACTCCCCCTCAACTAAAATATTTTTTTAAATTTAAGTGTACGAAATTGAAAAGTTAGGACATAGTTTTTCACATTAAAAAAGACAATACAAAATTTAAACAAATTCACTTTAAATGACCCCCTTTTCAAAAAATAATTTTTATTCCAGGAGATGTTAATGGCTCTGCTTAACCTGCATCCCTGTTTAAGACACAGTGAAACGTTTTATTTGAGGTCAGTTAATACCTGTTAATGACAACCAGAAGAAAAGGATATTAACAGCGCTCTCTGTATTTCAGTTCAGCTGGGAATTCGTGCGATCCCATTTATTCTTAAGCCAGTGGAGCTGAGACTGCTGAAGCTTGATAGGAGGCTGAGATGTAGGACTCATACTAGATACACTAAGGAAAATCTGCCATCTGCAGAAAAGAAATACGAAAGATGGTGTTAAGACCCTCTCCAAACTTAAATTCTCAATTTCCATAACCACCATTTAAGTCAAATACATCCTAACATATAGCCAATCCTAAACTACAGCTGCATATTACTCTCCTAGGACAGACTAACTGAGCCATGTGGTTAAAAGGGCACTTTAGTGTCCCCCAGGATGGCAGAGGACAGAAAGCAAATAGTGTATTCAAAGTATGGTGTATTTCTTATCTAACTGCCCTCAGCCCTGGGAGGAGCTGAGGAAAATCAAGGTCACATGAGAGGACAGGACACCATGCCCCATAACATACATATTCTTAAATTTGCATTTTGTTTTTTTCTCCTTTCCTCTTCTGCTTGTTTCATTCCTTCATTTCCCATCCCCCTCCAGCTTTTCCTCTCTCCTGCTCATGAATTAACCATGCCAATGACACTCAAGATTAGGTTCACTTTGATAGGAGGATAATACTTAAAAACAAAACAAGGGCACACACACATAAACTTTCAAGAATTATTCTAAATGCTTTAGAAACAGGCTTCTTAGCTGGGGTCTGGGGATGGGGAGTGTGGTCCACAGATGAATAATGGACAGTCCTATGAACACCCTAAAATTATATGCAAAAATATTATATAAAACCATAACTGTTAAGCCAGGTTCTCAGATGTGTGACCAACAAATAAGCTAAGGATGAGATTCACAATCAATTTACATTTATCAAGTACCTACTGTGTATGTACTGAACTAGACCTTTCACATTACCTTATTTAATCTTAATTTTACTAGGTGGTACTACATGGTGACAGTAGGATTAAGCTTTTTGTTTCTTCCTGTTAAAACACAAATGGGAGTGGAAATGACTCTACAGAGTTCATGACTTTGGGTTAGGGTTAGAATCTCCTGAGGAGCTGCTTTTTAAAATTCTCATACCCAGAACACACCCCAGAACAATTAAATCAGGCCTCAGGAATTTTCCACATTCTCCAGGTGATTCCAAAGTGCAGCTTACAACCTCTACTCGAAGCAGTGTTACCCTTCAACAGTTCCTCATGCCCTATCCGCCATACCCAGCTTCTGTCGCTGCCACCTTTCTTACAGCTGAATCCACTGGGCTCAGTGCTCATGAGGCGGAAGGACGTTGTGTTGTACAGAAACTTCCTCCTTTGGCTTTCATGCTTCTTATTTGGGAGTCTTTTGAAATGTTTTTATTTTTTTTTTATTTTTAAAAAATTATAGGGGGTTTTAACTTCTGGGTTTAGTTTAAATGTTACATTTGATGTAATGCACTCTCTTCTGAAATAGTTGAGTAGCAACCACATTTTAAATGACTACAAAACACAAAATTAGGTTTCAGGATATTATTAAATTTGGAAAAAAAACCCACAAGATATATATTTGTAAACTGAAATCTTAATGATGGTGAGACACTAAAAACCATTTAAAATATAACTATAAAGGATTTAAAATAAACATTTAATATATAACTGAAGTAGCTTTTTTTGATGCTAGAACATAATTAGGCTTTTTAGGTTTTTATTTTAATTTAAATTCTTCTTGAGTTTTCAGGTTCAAAATGCTGATGAAACACTAGGCACTTTTGTTTAAAAAGACAGCCTAGGAATGTATTCCCTCCATTTCCTTCTGATTCTTTCCACTGAGCCTTCAAGGACCACCTCCAAAGTCCTCTTCCACGTAGCGTTTTCCAATTAGACCCATGTCTTCCTTTAAAATCCAGCCAGACTGTAACTTTCCCGACACTGTCACATCCCACCTTGTATTACAGTAGTCTGTGAACTTGCACTTCCTCTCCTGCCAGACTCCTACCATTACTTTCTCAAAAGCCAGGACCACGGCTTTTCCATCTGTGTACAGTTCTCAACGTCCACTAGTGCCTTGCATTAGAAACCGGAAAAGAGTATAACTGAAGTCGGGGTGAAATGCAGAGTGCTGGAATGGAGGACCAGGAGCAAAGGGTTCAGTGAGCCCTCCGCCACATCCCACTGGAAGCAGGAGCCTGGGTCGGTCGTCACAATAACAGTAACAATTAGTGACTCTTACCGTGTGCCAGGCATCGTGCTAAGCCCTTCCAATGCATTAGCTGATGCTAGACTCCCACAACCACACGAAGCAAGTCCTATTACTCCCTCCGTTACACAAACGAGAAAAATCACAGTTTAGGTCCCCTTCTGGCCCGCGGTCACACAGCTAATATATAACTAAGCCTCGATTCAGACCATTCTGTTTCTTTATTATAACACAGGAACGAGAATAAACCCCGGCGCCACGAGATCATTCAAGTTAAATATTAGTTTTGACAAACCAAAAACCTCTACAGCAACACCAACGAGGGAAGCCTCTCCTAAGCCGGGTTTCCCTTCGCCCTGGGAAAATCCTACTCATTCTTCCAGGACACACCCTGCGGACTCCCTCCCTGGGGTCACCCCAGCTCCGGGTTCAGCAGGGAGCCGGGGCTGTCTCTACCGCGCGCCACCGAGTCGTTGTTTGTGCGACTCACCAACAACCCGGGGCAGGCCCAAGCCTAGCCATGTGCCCCAGCGCTAAGAACACGGAGGGCCCTGTGCGAGCTGAGCGTGGGCCCCGGGGACCGAGGAGCAGGGCCTAGACCTTCCCCTTCCTCCTGAGCGCCCCGGGGGGGCTGGGCTGGGCTGGGGGCGCCCCGTCTCGGCTTTGGGGAGGTGAGTCCCACCGAGCAGCCCCGGCCCGGCCGCCCTTCTCTGACTCGCGCGCCCCGAGCGCGGTCCGCATCATACCTCCGGTCGCCCTGCCGCCCCGGGCCCGAAAGTTCCGCCCTCCGCCCTTGCCCGGGCCCCCTCACCGCACTCTCGGGCGAGCCTGGAGACGCCGGGATCAAACCGCTCACCGCCTCTTCCGTGCGCGGGGCTGTCAGCTGAGCGGGGCGGAGCCGGGACGTGGGGCGGAGCCGGGGCGTGGGGCGGAGCCGGGGCGTGGGGCGGAGCCGGCGTGGACGGACAGCTTTGCGCAGCCGCCGTGGCCGCCCGGGCCCTCGCCGACCCCCGCAGGCCATCGTTGGTACTGCAGTCGCGTCCAGGTCACCCCACCACTGACTGGTAAAGCACGCTTCTAGACTACTCGATGCTAATGTAGGTCCTGGGGTCCCGTGCTCAGTGGGCTCCTTCCAGTGGTTCTTGATGGGGCCCTGGAATTAGAATTTGTACCAATCCCTAATCATGAGGCAGCGGTCTACCTGGGGCAGAGAATCCCGTAAAAATCCCAGGCCTGCTCTTCCAGGTGGATTAAGCAAGCCTCTTCCCGAGATCTGAACTAGCTTCTTAGAAATGCTGCCCGTCCTTCTGGCATCTCCACTATGAAAGCATTCACTCTTTGTTCATATTATAACAGTAATAACAATCACATTCATTGAACGGTTAAGAGGCTTCAAGCACTGTGCTAACTGCTTTACGTACATTTTATCTTCATCTTCACTATAACTTATGATTTAATTAGCATTTGTTATTCCCACTTTATAAATGAAGAAATTAAGACTGAGGTTCAAGAACTTACTAAGGTCACGTGATTATTGAGAGGCTGAACAGGAATTAAAAATCGTATGCCTCCTACCTCACACCGTATACAAAAATTAACTAAAAATGAATCAAAGACATAAAAATAAGAATTAAAACTGTGAAATCCTTAGAAGAAATGTAGGAGTAAATCTTCATGAATGCAGATTAGGCAATAGTTTCTTAGATATGACACCAACTGCATAAGCTACAAAAGAAAGGACAGATAAAGTGGATTCATCCCACGTAAAAACTTTTGTGCTTCTCAGGATGCTATCAAGACAATTAGAAGACAACCCACAGAATAGAAGAAAGAAAATATTTGCGAATCATTTATCTGATAAAGATTTATTACCCAAAATATGTAAAGAACTCCTACAAACAGCAATATAAAGACAAATAACCCTATACAAAAATGGGCAAAGGATCTTAATAGGTAATTCTCCAAAGAGGATATACAAATGGTCAGTAAGTACGTGAAAAAGATGTTCAACATCATTAGTTATCAGGAAATGCAAACCAAAACCACCATGAGAAACCACTTTACACTCACTAGGATGGCTAACATAACAAAGAGATAATAACAAGCATTGAAAAGGATGTAGAGAAATTGGAACCTTCATATACTGATGGGAAAGTAAAATGCTGTAGTCACTTTGGAAAACAGCTTGGCAGGTCCTCCAAAAGTTAATTACAGAGTTACCAGATGACCCAGCAATTCTAGTCCTAGGTATGTACCCAAGAGGATCGAAAACATATGTTTGCACAAAAACTGGCACACAAATGCTCATGGCAGCATTATTCACAATAGTCAAAAAGTAGAAACTACCATCAATGAAGGGATAAACAAAAGAGGTATATTCATACAATGGAATAGTATTCAGCTATAAAAAGTAATGAAGTGCTGATACATGCTATAACATGAATGAACCCTGAAAACATTACTCCAAATGAAAGAAGTCAGGCACAAAAGGCCACATACTGTATTTTTCCATTTATATGAAATGTCCAGAATAGGCAAATCCATAGAGTCAGAAAGTAGATTAGTGATGCCAGGAGCTAAGGCAGGAGAGAATGGGAAGTGACTGCTAATGGGGAAGGGGTTTCTTTTGGGGGATGAAAATATTGTGGAATTAGAAAGTGGTGATAGTTTCACAACTTTCTGAATGTACTAGAAACCACTGGATTGCACACTTTCTTCTTCTTCTTTTTTTTTAAAGATGACCGGTAAGGGGATCTTAACCCTTGACTTGGTGTTGTCAGCACCATGCTCTCCCAAGTGAGCTAACTGGCCATCCCTATATAGAGATCCGAACCTGTGGCCTTGGTGTTATCAGCACCACACTCTCCCAAGTGAGCCACAGACCGGCTTGGATTGCACACTTTTAAGGGGTAATTTTATCACATGGAAATTATATCTCAATTTTTTTTTTTTTTTTTTTTTTTAAAGATGACCGGTAAGGGGATCTTAACCCTTGACTTGGTGTTGTCAGCACCACGCTCAGCCAGTGAGCGAACCGGCCATCCCTATATGGGATCCGAACCCGGGGCCTTGGTGTTATCAGCACCGCACTCTCCCGAGTGAGCCACCGGGCCGGCCCTATATCTCAATTTTTAAAAATGCAAAGTACCGTTCTTGGTACTTCATTGGAATATAGAATTGTTGGTTCCTGCTCCTGGGAACCATCAAATTATTGTGCCCCTAATGATCTAATAAACTCCTGTGTCCTCCTCATCTTGTATTTCTTCCCCCAAAAAAGTGACTTGTAGAGCTGGGTCTGTAACCCAAGTCTACAGGATTCTAAAGCTCCTATCCACCACTGCCTTCCAGGCAAAATTGGCTTCATGGGCCAGCAACCTGTGCAGTCACACAGTGCCCTGCACTTAGAAGACCCCGGGCTTAGAAGGGCCCCTCTTTGATGCTCTGCTCTTGCCATCTGGAAATTTTTAATATATTTTCAACAAGAGGCTCTGCATCTTTATTTTGCCTTGGGTTCTGCAAATTATGTAGTTGGTCCTGCACCCAGGAGAGAGGAAAACCCAAGTGGGTAAATTTGGGCACCCAAGAGGCTTACCTGGCTGCCACAGAGGGAAAACTTGAAATACAAATAATCACTCCAAATTTTCTATACTATAAATGCTGATTATCATAGAACAGAAACCTAGCCACCCCTGTAAGATACCAAAACCAGAAACATATGCCTCATAAATCAAGGGAAAGAAGAATCTCTGAACCCATTCACTAATATCATTGTTCACGTTGAGCCAAAGGAATAAAACCAAGAGCAAAGCGCAGAGCAATCCTACCTCTGAGTGCTCAGAAAGGTGAGACCAGAGACTTCCCAGAGACCTCTCAGATGCAAAAGTGAGGGAGCCCAATCTCTAGCTCTGGAAATTCTCACAAATTTGTAGCAGGAGGTGAATTGTGACATCATGTTGTGACCCCATGTCAGAGGTCACAGGATAGAGAGAACAGGAAAGAGAATTTCAAAGAAGTGATAATAATGTGGTGAATGTTTTAAATGGACTAAAGATTTTAGAGTCCACTTCTGAGGATGGGATTAGATAAAGAAAGTCTTCTAATAATGTTTTGTTTTTAGACTCCATGAAAACAACAGGCTTTTTGTAGCTTTGGTTTCATGTGCCTGGTTAGTTTTTTAAATTGAGCTCTCCCCATGTGCCCAGCCCTGCACTGTGCTAAGCACATTTAAATGCCCAGGACTGCACAACTTGGGTAATTTTGTCTCCCCATTTTACAGAAGGAGAAACTGAGGCACCAAGGAATGAAGTGATTTGGCCAGTGTCAAATAGTGGTGGAGCCGGGTTTAGGACCAATTTCTCATCAGTCTGACCCTCTCTGATAGCCTATAAGATAATTTGTTTGTAACAAATCCACAAATAATATTGGCCTTAAGAATTAAAAGAGAAGGCCCTAGAGAAGTTTGGATTAGAGTTTATGACATAATCATAGGTGAGAATGAGAATACAGGAAGAGAGAAAAAGACCCAACTCCATCCCCAATCCCTATGATCAGGGACAAGAATTCTAGAGCTAGGAGAGAACAGAATGTGTGACATAGACCAGAGGTCGAGATCAGGCTGTTGAATAGACAGTATGAGAGAGCTACAAAATACAGCTTGTTGCTGAAGGGGTTAGCTGACCTTCCATCAGGTCCTGCACTTGCATCCATTGGGTGTCTGGAGACTTTACCAAGCTTATCCCATCTTCCCAGTGAACACAGCTTCGTTTTCAATGTCCACCACTCACAAGCACCCCCGAAACAAGCCCTGACACATAAAGCTGCAGCAGTGTGGAGAGGAAAGCTCTGCCCTACTCTCGGATAAGACTGGACGGTGGTGAGCCCCACTCCAGTACAGAAGTGTCACTGGATTCTTGCTGATCTCTTTTCATTGTGTATTTGCTCATCATGTAGATCTTAAAAGTTTATTATCACATGGGAATCTGAAATTTTGGTTTTCTTAAAAAATGAGGGCTTTCTCCTACAAAAAATTGGGAGCTACCACACTAGAAGCATAATTATAAGTACGTTATTATTTAGTGCACTACCATGTCCCAGGACCTGTTCCAAGTGCTGTGTATTGACTGCTTAAGCTAAACCTTATGGTAACCCTATAACATAGTTGCCATCATCATCATTGTCCCTGTTTGAAAGCTAAGGAAACCAATCACACAGAAGTTAACTGACTTGCCATTGTTCTACAGATGGTAAATTACAGAGCCAAGCTTTGAACCCAGGCAATTGGAGTCCTGAGCCCACATCGTTAATCCCAATGCTATGCTTAGACTGAATCAGCATTTTGCTCAAGGAAAGTGGTCAGTTGGGTCTTAAAGGAGAAAAGCCAGAGACCTGTGTGCCCAGCTTCCTTGGTCAGTGCAGTTCAAACAATACCCTGGGTCATATCAGGATTATATGTATAAAGACAGACTCCTACAAAGGCTTGAGGAGTCTGACAGTATAAAATGCTTTCTGAGCTTCTGATGCAGGGTAAAATTTGATTTGCAATAATAGGCACAGAATGATCATGTTCATACTTGCAACCTGGCATTTTATTATTATTCCCCTGAATAACAGTGAAAAGAGTTTTGTAACCCCAAGGTAACATGGCTCTATAAGAAGGAGAAAGGGGTGAGATTTAGCAGCAGCTGCCATCATAAATCAGTGTGTGGCTGTTTCTCTCAGAGCTCCAGGCTCAACTCCTGGCTGTCATAAACTTATAAAGGGAAGTCCCATGAGAATTTATGTAACGATGGGTAGACTCGTTTTCCTTCCTGCAAGAGACTTTCTGAAGCAGGGAGAGAATTAGGCTGATTATATTCTATATGAAGAAAAAAACAAACAAACAAAATCC